GTTTAAAAATAGATAGAGTTGAATTTTTAACATTTAAGCCCTTGCACTTGATTTATTTTGAATGTTGTTAGGTGTGAAATTGTATTTATTTTTACGGAAATGAGTTAAAATAATTTATAGCGATAGAATTCAACGTTTATATTTATTTCATTTATTATTATTATATGATTTAATTGTTATAATCTTTTAAAGTATGGTACTTTCTAAAACAATTTCCAACGTTCTATAACAAATTTATATTGTCATCTCCAGCATGACGTACGAGTGTAAAAGGTTAATATATGTACATATTAATTTATTTGAAATTTTTAATAAGACATACTGTTAGATAATTTCTATTATTAAAACAATCCGTTGAATAAAATTACTTCATTTCATTAAAAATGTCGAAGGTATATTTCAATTCTAATAATGTAATAAAAATATAATGAAGAAGATTTGTTGATGGTTTTGTTAACTGTACAACCAAAATATTCAGGACAATCACTGACGTTATTTTATGAAAATATGTGCAATGTGTTATTTTAGAATCGAATGCTTCATGCTTAAACAATCGGTCACTTAATTATGGTCAATTTTGAACGAAGAGATATTGCATTCGTATGTTACTGTGCAAGACACCGTGTTCCTCGTGGTCACTCGAGGATCGTTCCATCTGAATATTCAACAACCTTTTCGCGTTACACACTGGCTCCGATGTCGGTGCACCGAGTTCTATGTGTACATACGCGTGCACCGGCCACTCCGGTCGCTGCAAGCTCGGATGTATAAACAGTCCACTATCCATAGTGTCGCCGCTTTGCTGTCGTGACGCCACCATTATGAGCCGATATAGGTCATGCGTGCACGCGTTTCACGTGCATGTATATGACTTGAACGAAACAACTAAAGAAAACTAATTTCCATCGAAACAAGGAGATCTCGGAGAACCACAAATTTCTGTATCTCATTATGAACATGTAAAGTATTAAAGTAAAAAATACAAATTTTATAAATTGTGAGTTTATAATTATGTAAATCATTATTTTCTCAAATGAAAGGTATATTTATCGATGAAAAATTGGAATAGAAAAATATTGAATACGTACATTTGTAAATTGAAAACCTATTTTTAAACTTGTGTTGTTGTGACAAAAACTATGGAATTTATTTGGAATTCGAATTCTATTTTACCAATTCAACGAGGGAAAATAAATATTAACAGAATTTTATACTCCTTTTAGTTTATTTCCTAATCTGATATTTAAAATCAATCACAGTTATCTCTTGTTCAATAATATTTGGTCAAGTACTTCCATGATAATTGGTGCATCTAACAAACGGTTTAATATTAAATCAAACTTCGCTTCAATATTAAATTCTATGCTTATTGGAATACCTAAAGATCATTCATTAGAATATTAATTGTTCACGATTTAGAATGACAAAATGTGAATACTTGTTTCAGTTAAACTCGAAATGGTTTAATACCGACAATGAACAAAATTTCCGATAAAGGAATTTCAGAATTTATATGAGGAATGCGTAACAAGAAATTCGCTGCTTCCACCGAAGTACTTAGTATGATCCTGAATTCTCGCTCCGACATGAATCTGCTGCGAATATCTTACTTCAAAGGGATAAAATTAAATGCTTTGACTGAAACGGCTGAGTTGGAGAACTATGTTGTTATTCCTGTCATGCGCAGTAAACAAGTGTAATTATTAACGTTCAGAGAAATTCGCCGAAATTAAATTAATGCAAAATGCACAAACATAACCACGACGTTTGTCCCGGAGTCGTGCTCTTGTGCTTTGAACTAATTATGTAACTTTTAACAGTGAAGGGAGCCCGAATAAAGGTGTGGCAATATTGCTACAATTGATTCCAATTCAATTATTACAAATAATTTATGTGAATTCGTTTGTCATACGTGAAGCTAGACAAGGACACCTTCCTTTGAAAACTGAAAGTTAATTAGCTTCGACGCGGCCATGATTTTATTCATCAGAAACAAACATAATATATTCTGCGCAATTTGTTTTATACCAGTGCATATTCATAAATTAATAAATCATGTGTATGAACCACGTAGAATACTATTAAAGTAATATCGCGTTCATTAAACAAACATTTATCAATTACTCCGACTTCGATTAGAAAATCAAATGTCACGCGGGGAAGTCAGAAAAACATTAATATTTCCCGCAGTGATGGCTGTATCAATTTGAAATACGAAAATATTGGTACGAGTTTTATACAGACCACGGGTCCTCGAATTAATATCGGGAAACGAAGTACGCATGCCTAAAATATTGCACGGAGGGATACATAGTTTTCTTTCATTTCGACGAATTCTCTTGCGGCCGTTGATTAAAATCAAAGGCAATAGAATTCGATTGGTCGGAAATCTCATCCGCAAATTCCTCTCGAGCGTGTTCGCCAATTGGCAAGAGGAATCGGGCCGAAAGCGACTAACGAAGTGGAGGATACTCGGAACGGCCTTGAACTTTTGGCCCAATTGCACCGCGATTACGAAGATAAATCTTCGGCCACGAAACACCACAATTAGGTTGCGCGAAACAGGCACGTAGGGAATGTAAAAGCCGAACGCGAGGAACATAACTGGAGTAGGCACACAGCAGTTATTAAATCACCGTCCTCTGAGTAGTGGAACAAAAAATAGTGGCGAAAAAACGAAATGCGATTACTATTTGACAATTTCGCGACTCTGCAGGTGTAATTTGCAAGAACTTTTATTCTCCCGGAAAAAAGCGTAAATTGTAACGGTAATTAAATAAAATAAAAAGGACTGTCAGGTATAAAAAATTTTGATTAGCCTGGCGCGGAATCGTGCACGGCTTGAAAATTACAGAAATTTAATGGTAATGGAAAACGTGCTTCTCTAAAAAAATAACTTCGTTGTTAAAATAATTTTAATTTACACGAGAAACAGGTGGATATATGCGTTACAGAAACTGAAAAATTGTAAAGAAACTCGTGGTATGATAAAAGTGGATGAAATTTGCATCGATTCATCGATCGATAGACGATGAATTGATTTTTTTGTATTCTATTGTATAATATAAACAAAATAAATAACTGCAGTAATGATTAACAGTATTTTCATACTATTTTAATCTAATTAAAATACTTTGTAGTAAAAATAAATTTGTTTTTAATTCCTGTCGCCTTAGTTCTGCTATGAAAATATCAATTTGCATAAAAGTTCGCTGTTTAGTGACCAAATACTGAGCGAGAGGGGAAACTGTTGTTTACACAAACTTTTTAGTTCCGATTTCCAAAGATCCGTAGATTTTCCTTCGATCCCATTACGCCCTCGCAAACCCAAATTGAATGTAGGTCAGGATGGCGTTTCAAGTTCGATAACGTCACAGTGACTCATCCTTCCTGGAAGGAAAATAAAAAAGTACTACTAGATATAACACTAAGGGCTGAGCAAGGATGTAAAGATCAGCTTTCAGACGTAAACATACAAAAAACGTAAAATGCTCGACAGAATAAGAAAGGGTTGAAAACATAAAAACAACATTACCTTGTAATTATTTCTACGTTAATTCATAGTGTACATTAAATTAATTATTAAATACTACTTAATTATCTTCATATTAAAAATTCAGGTAACATCCCTCTGAGAAAATCACAATAATCTCTATGTTCCTTTTATAGTCTCCCTACTAAATTACGAACTAAAATTTCATCAGTCTCGAGAAATAAATACAACCGTTAATAGAGGAAACAGATTTCTCTCTGCCATTCAAAGACGAAACTTCACGCAAATGTCCGCAACCAACTTAACACTTTACACGCGCTTGTGTCTAAATACAATGCTGCTGCCCCTAAAATTGTTTCCGAACAACGCAGCAAAATCAAACCGACGTCCGCGCAATGAATGGAAAATAGTGGTAAAAACGGTGAAACGGTGGGATAAAAGCGACCACGCTTGATAAGCCTGTGTAAATTTTGTGGACTTGTGGTTTTGCGGCCGCTCTCCATTGCCGATCGATCCGCTGCCACTTAATTCGATCGTCCGCGTGTCGCTAATGAACTGTTTCTCCATTCTCTGCGATTGCGCCGCGAAAACTCTCTTTGCGGAAGAGCAGCGGCGGGTTAATAAAATTGTCAAACGAACGTCATCGGGGACGAGCTCGGTCGCGAGCCGAGTGCTGATTGAACTCTGACATTAAAGCGTGTTTCGGCTTCTCGGTTCTCTTATCCTTTTTTCCTCGGGGCGGGCGCTGTTTGAACAGATCGTCGACAATGGTCGGATACTTTTGAGTTTTCGACTCTGAAGGAATACAATGGGTGGCGGCCTCAATCCCGCTATTCCGAGGGTTAATATTTTAATTCAATTAAAGGAGTATGATTTTAGTATGACCGACTGCTATTAAATTTTCCGTCGGATCTTGACAACTCGTGCGTCAGTTGAGGAAATGTATCTTAATACAGATCTTTGAAGTGGACGTTTTGTTATCTTAAAACGAATGGATTGATTGAATTCCAGGTTTAATGTATTCGTAAGAGTTTTTAATTTAAGTAATGTATAGTGAAACGTTCATTGTAATTTTCGATTGAGTAACATTATCAGTAAATTCATTTTCTATTTAAATGTTATTCTGGGGAATTAATATTTATAAGAATTCTATTCTAATTGTAATTTAAATAATATAAAAAAATAATATAAATTAAACTAAAATCAAAGTAGAATAGAGTACAATGTTAAGGATTACTTTGAATTTACGGATAGTACAAACACAGGTGCAATGAAAGAATAAAAAGAAAATTGAATCTACAAACAATTTTTTCAAATACTTGCTTTCTTATAATCGAACCTACAAATAATTATTTCAAATACTTGCTTTCCCATAATCAAACCTACAAGTAATTCTTTTAAATACTTGAATAGTTAACTTAATTTGAATAATTAATGAACTTCTTCAAATATTTGTGTAATTAACCCCTAAACTCGACTGTACCCATAGAACAGTTGAATTCCTTACCTGGCATTGCTGTGGTCCCTGTCGGTTGGGCGACGAAGCCTTCGGTCTTGGTTTCTTCACCCCCAACTTTCCAGGATCCCCGCCGCCAGGTCTCGACTCCTCACTGCTACCTAAAACCAGAGAGAACAGATACCGGTGAGGTGCAAGGTCGTTGGCTTTTCGTCAGTAGCCGACGACAAATCGAACATCTTGATAAATCGAGACAGGTCCCGAGGAAAACCACGGCTCGCGGAAGAAACTCGTTTTCCTGTTCCGTCGATCAGGGGATGAAACCATTACCTACACCGCCGCGAAGCCTCGGAGATCCACGATCGATGATTTCTTGCGACGCCGTGCAAGATTTCACCCGCGCAGCCCACCCGGTAGCACACGCGATCATTTTCTTTGACCTGTCGAACGGAGGAACCCTAGACTTCTCCGAGGCTCCGACTTATGGAAGATTGATTGCGCGGCGTGTTCTTTTTTGCGCTCGACACAGGATACACTTAACGGCCGATTGGCCCGTCGTCAACATCGATCCGAGCTCCGGCGAAGAAACCATCGAGAGGCAACTGCTCGTCATTGTGTATCGGGACCCGTGATTTATTGACGAAAACGTCGATCTTATTCCAACCATGTCCAGATCAACGGTGACTTCACGTGCGATGAGAATTCGTTGATCGACTTTTCACATAAAGCGAATAAGATATTAAGTTCTGGGTTTTTGGGAATTTTTAGATCTCTTTGATATAGAACCATTTATGTCGAACTGAATAATAAGAAATTTTATCTATTATTTGCATCGGTGGATGAACCTGGATTTAGAATTGTTTGGGTTCTTCGAATAAGTGGTAAATGCTAAAATAATATTGTAGTTTTAGAATTGTACATGTTTTATTTCATACGATACCAGCAACAAATAAATCGGATATAATTCCCAATATTAAACAATAGGCTATAGAACCTCACAATTTCGAACAACATCGCTAGTCAATTATTTGAAATAAAAATCACAGAAAAAAACAACAATTTAATGGCAACAGTCCACGTGGAAATGAATAAAACACAAACTCCACAACTCGACGATAGAACGACACAAACTCCGCCAAAAAAAGAATTCAAAATTCGCAAATCCCATCCTGTCCGAGACAAAGCCAAACGCTAGGAGGTTAATTCCATTAACCTTTCGTACAAATCCGACTATCTTAGAAGTCATACCGTTTATCCCATTATTTCGAGAGACGGTAGTCTTCCGTCGATCGCGGGAAGAATGGAGCGAACGTCGCTAAAGATTTTCCTAGAACAGCGATTCATTCAGTCCCCAAAACTAAATACAACTTCTCCCGATTGTAACATTCGTATCATTGTGCGCGTCGACAATAACAACACGATCTAGGTGAAAAGGGAGCGAAAGCCGGAGAGTTTACCCAGAGAAACAGCGACACCGGGCAAAGCGGGGCGCGGGGGGAACGTAAAGTCCCTCGATTCCGCGCGGACATTTTCAATTATAGCGGACACATCACAAAGAACAAAATGGAGGAGCCCTCTCTGACCGGAGATTGTGCTCGGCAAGGCTCATTTCCGGTCGAAGAGCAGTCTTACTCCTCCGATTTACTTTCAACGTTCAAGGAGATACGCTGCCACCCTCCTTCCTCCGCAGTCAGCCCCCTACGTTGAATCGCTGTTACTAACTAGCAACACCTGCGACCATCCTCCTCCCCGTACCTGGTCGAGAGTGCTTCCTCTTTCATCCCTGCTTCATGGCGTATTTAATTAATGATTGTTCCGAGAGTCCCGGCGCTTTCGTGTCTTGGGAGGCCTCGTCGTGCTTTATTTTCACGCGGCGCGAGCCCGAAGGAGAAATGGCCTCGTTTAGGATTTAATTATTACTGCCCACCTCCCTGCTGCCGCTCCTACAGGATGCTCGCCAGAAGACGAATACGTCTTCAGCCATTCACGTGGACGTCTTTTCCACGACGGACATCGGGATCGGGATGATGCGGCCCAGATGAAAGACGCTGAGACTAGACTGAAACGACGACCAGTACCGGGATACAATCGACGGGGATGAGGATAGGGGTTAATTGTTGAACCCAGAGCGACGAGGAGGAGGGGGGCGGGCTTTGTTCCGATGAATTAAGGACGGGGACGAACGGGACGGGCGAACTTTTATGCGGAAATAAATGTCGGGTCGTTTTCGTAAATTCGCGGGATTCCGCTAATGCGAGCCTCCGATGCGTTCATAAGTCTTTTAAATAGGGAGGTGTTCGCCGGAGCTTGGGGAATATTAAGCCTCGGATTGAGAGGGATGACGGAAATGAATAATCTTCGTGCGGTTAGAAGTTGAATTCGTTTGGTATTTTGATGGATTCTTAGATTCTGGAATCCTGGTGGAAAATGGTTCTATCAATGTTTCTTTCTGAGTTTATTTTTTTACGAGGGCAAGGATGTATCTAAAAAGTATAAATGTGTATATTTTTCATGTAAATCGAGTTTTTGTAATACTGTGCGCGAGAAAGCATTGGGATAAGGTATACGAATGATCCCCGAGATGTTCAACTTTAAATTTTGAGAATTGTTTCCAACTTTTTAATAGGAACACTGGATTAATAAAAATAATATGTAACAAATATTTCTTCAAGAACTATGGTCTATAATCAGATTTCATTTCATAATTAAAGGTAACTGAATTATGGAAGTAAACGACACAATTCATACCACTGTCATTCCCATTCCACGCGATTTCTTCACAGATATCGCAAAATTAGTATTGCAAAATCATGTCCACTTTATCGGTATTCACGACATGTTATCTTTTTTATTTTTCAGAAAATTCGACAGTCGAACATTTTTCAACGTCCATGAAACAATCATATAAAGTACACAAAATGGTGCGAGGTACGTTTCGGTTAAATGCGAGTCATTTAAAACTCGAACGAAAAATACGGTTTTTTTTTAGTCGGCTGCCGCTAAAAGTTTAATGCAACCGTACAACGCATTTTAATGGACCGTTCGCGTGGGTCATCAGGGGAGCGGTTAATTGTTAACAATGTTCAGCCGTGTTGACAGCAATATATTTGCGATTGGCTGACACTGTTTGGCCGGCTTGTATTTCATTTACGATCCTTTGGGATACCGGAGCTCCTTTCTCTATCCTCGTTGCTCTAATTTATCCATCTCTGTCCGCGCGTCTCAGAAACAGGAACGTCACTCCGCGGCTGCTGTTCATAATTGCATCGCTAATTCCGCTAGACAAACACACGGTTTCCGTGGCCGCGACGTACACTTAATAGCCCGCAGAGGACGTGCCGATTATGCAACAGTTCAAAAAGCATTTAATATTCATGTAGTTATGGGACGCGGCAATATGACGTCTGGGACGCGAAGAAATGATACGGAGATTTCGGCTGAATTGTATTACAATTATCAACGAAATAACACGAATGAGATCGCTTACTAAACTGAATCAAGTAAAATCAGCGTGGTATTTCTTTTGTCTTCATATCATGCAGATAATCTTTTATTTGTACATAATATTGATTAACGCTTTGCACTTGACAGAGGACTCTCAGTCACTTGATTTGACATAGAAAAATTCCAGCACTACATTCCTAACGAAAAGACGAACAAAGACAAATGTACATTTAGTTATTCTCCGAATCTCCGTTAGTTTTAAAATATTTCATAAAATACCTCGTTCATCCCCAATTCCACTATTCCCACCCCATTACCAACACACATGATTATAAAACAACAAACCCAAAATATTATAACCTCTCTATGCTCCACAAACGCACACCATTAAGGGTCATTGTAATTAGCCCATTCTAGTCCGATGATATCTTTGGCAACGCAATCTCACCGCTAATAACTGAGCGCCAACTACCACGATCAATCCAACAATAACTTCTCGAAATTCGGCCGGACATCCACATCCGTGCAAACCAATAAAGAACATAATTCCCGAAAGTCGAAACGACCACGCGTCCGCCGGCGTCACGGAGTCGGGACAACTATCCAGCTATCAATCCAAGTCGACCGCGGCGTGTTGCGCGGGTCCATCAGTCGACAAAAGTCCGAACGAGATATAATTGATCGTGCGGCCGGCCGGTCCGGTCCGGTCGGTCGGTCGGGTGGCGCGGACGGATGGAAAATTCCGCGGTGGCGGGACCGAATTCGGCCAGGTCGGTCGAAGCGAATTACTCGCGGAGTCGCGAGGCGCGACTCGTTTATCAAATTCGCCTGGTATGCGCCGCATCAAAGACAGACCCGTTGATTTATTAAATTACGTCCGGGCGGGGATCGCGGCCGCGGAAAATGGAATCCCTTGAAGGCGGATTCGACTCGGGCTCGTCGTTTGACGTCGCCGCGACGACGACGGAGGGCAGAACGCACGGAGCCGCCGGGGACGCTCCGAGACAAAATTATTAAAGTTCCTTGTATACACATTTATCTTCCCTCGATGTTTGCGCTGCTGAGACGAGTATACGGACTTCCGGTAAATACGGCCCTTCCTCACCCGCGCTCGTGTCCTCCGTCGAACCTGATGAAAAGCGACTTGTTTACTCCGTCGTTGCACCGTTGACTTCCGGCCGACCGGCGAAAAAAACTTCCGGAAGACGGTAAGGAAAAAGGCCCCGTGTACTTAAGCCCCGGCTCCGACGAAGATCCTTTTATTTCCAGGGAAGTTCGACCCCTCGAGGACGCGATCCGTTTTGGACTTCCCTGAAGGGGAGGTGGGATTGGGATGGCGAGACAAAGAACGTTCCAACGATATTTCGCTGCGTGTGTCCGATTGGAAGGTTCTATAATCTTTTTAGCAGTTCCCTGACCGGGTTCACGTGTTTGGATTGCGCTCTGAGGTTAATGTTTGTATTGAGATGGCGGGTGAAACGAGTTCGGACAGAGTTGAATTGACAAGTGGGTCTTTTTGAGTATTGAAATTGGATTAGTGGAGTGGTTAAATTCTTTGGCACTGGCGTTTGAAGGAAGTGGGAGAATGGGTTGGATAACTTTGTGTTGTGAATGGTTGGATCACGATGATTTTTCATCCCTTGCGTTAAAATAACATGTCAAATTCGTGATGAAGATTTTAACAGGATTTAATGAGCATACACTTGATTCTTTTGAA